GTCCGTGAACTTTGACATTCAATTTCAATATATTGAATATGAATGTAATTTGAATTGGATTTTCATTAATCCTAATTGCAGTTAATGTTGAACATTTGTCGAAGAAAATTTATCAATTAATAAATAAATATTTCGTTCAAAATATTGATGAAAACTTTGCTTTTCAAACAAACTATAAATGTACTAATATGTTATTTTGTCCGTGAACTTTGACATTCCATTTCAATATATTGAATATGAATGTAATTTGAATTGGATTTTCATAAAGCAATTATTTTTGTAAAATTATTTTCTTAAAAATAATAAAATTTTCATAAATATTCTAAACGTTTATTTTTTGTTGTTCAAAAATTAACTTATTAAGAAACTATTGTTGTTCAGATATTAATAAAAAAATGTTTATTTTTATAGAAATTCGATTAATTTTTCTAATAACAGATCGAAACTACAATTTTTAATCGGTTTCTATAAATTCCGGTGATAATTTTCGAGATTATATACAAAAAATTGTTAGGAATTTTTGTATTTAACAAGTTTCTAATAGAAAAGGTGTTAATTCGTACATTAATAAAGTGTACATTCTTTTGTGCAAAGTTATTTTTAACTTATACCTTGAAATAACGCTTAAAACAAATATTAAATAATTATACAGTCGATTTTGATAATAGTAATTCACTTTTACAATATAACTTTTATTTATTGTTCATTATATATTTTCTTAGTCGTTTGGATTAGAAATATTTCCATTTATTAGTTTATTCGTTGATTGTTATTGGAAATTGTTAGCAAATATGTATGAAAATCGTATGGACTTTATTTTCGATTTCAATTATATTTAATCTAGCTCATATATTTGGTAATAAGTATAAGTGTTTTATCAACCTATGAGAAGATTACGCCACTTCACCTACAAATGATTAATATACAATTAAGATGTTTTTGGTTAATCTTTTTTCCATATAATCTTGGACAGTTTTTAACTGCAAGATATTTACATTTCTAAATTTGCTTTAAATTGCTTACAAATTAATCGTTTTTGTGTAAATAGTAATTAAATGTTTGTTTGCTAAAAATGGAAGCAAAACATGTTTATGGTCACTCGTGGTAGTAGCATTCGTTCCCCTTTTCGCATTCGATTAAATAAACGCACGGACCACAATCATTCCATTTGCGTAAGTGCGCATCGCAGACGATCCAAGTTTAAAGTTTCATCATTCATCAAGTTCCGCATTACAAATATTTTTGTATTTTTTTTTTTTTGGAATTTTCGTTATGAAGATCCACAAACCTTCTCGTCACCTCTTCCGGTACTATGGTAACTAAAATCTTTAACATTTTTTTAATCGAAACCTTGCGAAGACAGTCTTTGTCTGAATCTGTACGATAAGAAAACCGGCTTCAACTAGTTTCAATATTTGCCGAAGCAATATCCTATCCAATAGGTGATAATAGTGCATTTCACATATCTCATATAAGTTTATATAAACTGTGTATTTATGCTACTGGTAATCTCTTGAATCTTTATTATTGATTTGTTTTGTGCGTGTGTTTTTAGATTCTCTGGATGAGATGGGTAGCAGATCGAGCCTCAGCAGGGAAGTAGACGTTGGTAACGACCATTGGGGGATGAATTACCACGAGGCGGCGATTTTTCTTGAGGTAATTGAATCTCTTTCAAAGTAGTGACTAGTTTTGATCGAGGTTCATTGCAGGAAGGAGAAAACAACGAGAAGTTTGATTCGCATCCGCGACATCCGGCCGCGCTTCCCGCTTACCTTCTGGTACATAATAATTGGTATTATGGCTTGGATTTGATTGCTTCTTTGGTTTTGCTGGCGTTGGCCGTGGCTGAAGAACCTGCAGTTGCCGATTTTACTCTCCCCGTGGGAATCCATGGGACTCTGGAGTTGATGGCGCTAGGAATTATAACCATTGAATTATTCTTGAAACTGCAATGGACTGGTTTCAGCACGATTTGGAAGCACAAGAGGACTAGTATAAAGGCAGGAGCTTTACTCATCATGGCTTGCGAGGCTTTGATTGTTCTGATCAGGCAGGAGAGTCATTTCAGGGTTACTAGAGCCCTGAGACCTATTTTCCTAGTCGATACTAAAGTCTGCGGCAATGTAAGGAGATTCATCAGACAGATATTCCAATCGCTTCCACCGATCCTCGACATGCTTGGTTTGCTCATGTTCTTCGTGTCCAGCTACGCTTTGTTAGGCTACTACCTCTTCAGCGATCACCATCACAACTTGTACTTCAAAACATTACCAGACAGCTTCGTGAGCATGTTCGTTCTGCTGACGACTGCAAACTTTCCGGACGTCATGATGCCTTCATACGCGAGCTCCAAATGGAACGCTATATTCTTCATAAGTTACATCGGCACCGTCTTGTACGTGCTCATGAACTTGATGTTGGCTGTGGTATACGAAACCTTTACTGGAATCGAAAAGGATAAGTTCAGGAAATTGTTGCTGCACAAGAGGAAAGCGTGCAAACTTGCGTTTCCGCTGTTGGTGAGCAAGCAGAATCCGGATGGAATAAAGTTCAAGCAGTTTTCGGGCATGATGCAGTATTACGCTCCAAGGATCTCTAATCGCGACGTGGTGCTTATATTCAGGCAGCTGAATGCCTCCGGCTCGGGGAGCTTAACTTCTGAAGAGTTCTTTGGGATTTACGATGCCGCCAGTCTGAGGTGGCACTTGAAGGACCCTCCGGATCCATGGTTCAACGCCGCTTGGCCTCCGTTGCGTTTTGTTTGCAGAGCCGCAAGGGCTTTAGTTCTTTGGAAATACTTCGAGCATATTGTTTGTGAGTATTCATCGATCCGTCGTTACAAGAGATCTTGATAATTTAATATGTTCTTTCAGACGTTTTGATTATCGGAAACGGAGTGGCGATGTTCATTAGAATTGCGCAATCCGCGCAAAGCCTTGAAGAGAGCGCAACCATGTTTTCCAACTCTTGGGACACCTATCTTTTCCTATCAAGTAATTCAATTTAAAAAAAAAATAACTTCTTGAATTAAATTATTAATAACATCTTGTTTTGTAGTATTCCTCTTTGAAGCCTTGATTCGAGTCATTGCTATTGGTTGGACGCAATACATAGGCTCGGGATGGAACATTTTCGATCTTGGCGTAACTTTGGCTGCACTCCTAGGATCTCTAGTACTATTATTTAATCCCACATTCACAGTGGTTGTTATTCTACGACCATTAAGGTAATATTATAGTATACAAACTGTATATTCATTGCTTCAATTATTGGTTTACTTTCAGGCTGTTGAGGTTGTTTAAGCTGAAGAAACGCTACCGCGATATTTTCGGTACTTTAGTACTATTATCACCTCTTATGTGGTCTACAGCAGTTGTGATGTTGGTGATGTACTACTTCTTCGCCATCATCGGAATGGAGCTCTTCGCCAGCTCCTCCGAAGCTCTGAAGAACTGTTGCGTCAACACAACCGTGGAGGATTTCTTCAAGTACAGCGCGAACGGCACTACCGCCATCGGTTACTATTACATGAACAACTTCGGAAACTTACTATCTTCCGGGGTAACTCTATTCGAGCTAACAGTAGTCAACAACTGGTTCATAATCATGGACGCCTTCGCTCACGTCACAAACCAATACTCTCGCATATTCTTCATGCTGTTCTACCTCTATACAATGGTCGTCCTAACCATAGTCGTGGCTTCAGTCCTCGAAGCTTTCAGATTCAGAATACAGTACAAACGCCAAACTTCCAAACGAGATGAAGAGCAAATGCTACTTGAGGAAGTACGTGTCGAATGGAACTCACTAATTAGTCAGGTGCAGGATTCCAAATACATTGACGGTTTGAGGACGAATTTCGTGCCTGGAGGTGTAACGATTTACGTGGGGAAAAGACGAAGGAATCGCGAGGTTCTGCAGAGGAGGATGTACATGGCCGAAATTGAGAAGTGGTTGGTGGAGGATGAAGTCCTGGATCGCGGCATCGATCTAAGGGAAGTCGCCGAAGGAATCCTAGACTCACGACTGAGAGACTCGACTGCTTAAAAAAAAGGAGAGAAGAATCATCATTAATAAATCTAGTTAATCATATATTTTAAGCAACTTTTATCTATCATTTAAACTAATTGAGTGTAAATAATTTGTTTAGGTAAATTATTGAGATATGGTAGCTTAGATCTAGTTATACATGTGATAAAAAAATATCTTATCTGGTGAATTGTGCGTCGGAGCTTATGTATAACCAAAGAATATCAATCAGAGTTGATATTTATTGAACACGGTAAAAATAATGGTTTTCTTTTATTAATTTATATGTATATTTTAATACTGAACCGAACATGCTAAAAAAATAGTAATTAACTAATTAAGACTTTCTTTAATAAGCGTGTTTGTTTGTACTCCCGTATCGATGAGACTTGATGAAATGGATATTAAAACTAATTTATTCTCAGTATTAAGTATATGTATATTTTATGACTATATTTTAAACTCCATATTATGTAAATAAATGTTATTTATTTTAATCAGAAATTAAAAATACTCAAAAACTTAAGTTTTATCATTGATTCCTATACTTAATTTTCCTAATTATTTAACTAAAATCTGTGATAAAAATATAATTATCAATCTTGTTCTATTTCAATTAATACTGAAAAATTGACCATTTAGTTAAAATCACTATGATTATCTTATGGCAACTCAAGACTTTGGCGGAAAGACCTATGATCAATCGGTGGCAATCGCAAGTCCGACTACCATAATCCCGACAGTCTCTTATTGTTATAAATTTCTACAATAAATTTTTTATGGTATTCAGGATTTCGATATAGTCGGGATTTTGATTGTAGGGACTTTAATACAGACGGGATTTCGAACGTCGGGATTTCAATAGACGGTCTTTCGGTTGTCGGGCTTGCCATAAGACCCATGGTCAATAGTTCTTTGTAACAGTTGAAGACTAATATAAACTAATTTCTTGGAGAATTTTAAGGATTTCGAGGTGGATTGATTTGAAAATATTTTTGTTGTTAGTTGGTTTGATTTTGTTCTTTGTAAAAAAAATTGAATATTAGGGATGTTGAGGAAGTGTTTTGGTTTGAAAATATTGATGAAAAATGTAATAAATCCACAATTTATTGACAATGTCCAGCATAAACCATGGGTTAAATTGTAGTTCTTAAGTCTAGAAAGTCATACGGTGTGGGTACTGTGTCGAGAATAGTGTCCACGTAGCTTTCAAGTAACGCGCCGTGATGCTGGGATGGGGCGTCTTCTTGATGGCAGCCAAAACAACCTTGTCCATGGCCTTTTGGGCTGCCTTCTTTTCTGGGGTCCAGACGTACTTCTCCTTCTTGGCGGTGAAGATTTCGGTATCGTCCTTCTTGGCTTCCCTCTTCTTCTTTTCCTTGCGCAACAGATTGTCGTTGATGTCGCTTGGGATTTCGATGCCAGAGATGTCGACGACGGTCTTGGTGGCGATGACGAAGTTTTGGTGGATACGACGGAGGGGAACGTGGTTGAGGACGTATGGGCCGTTGATCAGCAAAAGACCGGAGTCCAATTGCTTAAGGAAGACGACGCGCTTTCCCTTGAAGCGACCGGCCAACAAGATGAGGACGGTACCTGGGGTAATGTTCTCACGGAGCTTGTATGGGGTCCTCTTAACTACCTTCTTGACCTTCCTGGTCTTCTTCCTAAAATACAAACCATCATTTAGAAAAAAAAAGTCTTCACAACTTCACATATTTGATAGCACAAAAAGAATATTCAAGAGATGTATTTGAGACACACAAAAGCTCCATTCACAGAAAATCAGAGGCAGAATCTGAAAAAGAAAACATAAAATTAGTAAAAATATTCAAATCTATTTGTTTTTAACTATTCAATAGATTTGCATCAATCAGAAAGTTAATAACGCAAAACTGTTTATAATCAAATAAGTTCAGAAGTGTCCTAAGATATTTCATCATTCTAATAATTAACTACTAATATTTAAATCAATTATTAAACTTACTTTATGATATAATTCTATAACCCTTAGAGAATACGCCCTCATCAGATTTATAATGTTAACCTGTAAGCAAAGAAAAAAAACATTAATTTCACATTATCAATGAAAATAAATTATATAATTTGAAATTAATTAAATCAGTAATAATAACGCAGTTTTTTGTAATCAGAGATAATCAGATGTGTCCTAAGATATATCATCATAGTAATTTAAAATATTCAATATTTTGAAAATAAAATCTTATAATTTACAATTTTTTTACTTACATTCTGATAAATGGTCGTTTCTAATCATTTGACTTCAGGATAGAATGAAGACATTTGGTAATCTGAAAATAAATAAATTATTTAGTAAAAGATAAAAAAAAATATGAAAGTAATTATTTTTTAAAGTAATAATTCAGAAATAATAACGCAGTTGTTTGTAATCAGGATAATTCAGATGTGTCCTAAGATATATCATCATTTTGATTCTTTACTTAATTTAGAAATATATAAAATACTTACTTTATTACAAATTCCAAGTTTTCTTCAATATGCAAGTTCGTCCAATTAAGATCCTGAAAACAAGTAAACTAATTAATTGATTGTTGAAATAGTAGTAATTAAAAATTGTAATTAAATGATAGTGATTTTCAGAAATAATAACGCAGTTGTTTGTAATCAGAGAACTATCAGATGTGTCCTAAGATATATCATCATATTAAATCTTAATAGTATTATTAAAGTAATTTATGATACTTACATCTTGCATTGAAATCATCCACTGAATATTTCATCTTCAATCAGAATACAAAACCTGAAAAATAATAATAATAGAATTAATATAACATTTTAAAAAATAAATTTTATAAAATTGTATTAAAAAAATTAATCAGAAATAATAACGCAGTTGTTTGTAATCAGAGAATTATCAGATGTGTCCTAAGATATATCATCATTAAGATTTTTTTATAAGATTTTTTTTTGTAATAAAATAAAAGTTGATACTTACATCGTAATAGTTTTTCTTAGATCATAGACTTTGGATTAAGTTGTTGGTAGGAAAACAATCTAAAACAAATAATTAAAATTAATATGAAGAATTAACAAGGGAATTTTAAACTTTTAATAATAGTTTTTATCAGAAATAATAACGCAGTTGTTTGTAATCAGAGAACTTTCAGATGTGTCCTAAGATATATCATCATTATGAATATTTTTGAAAATTTAATAAATTTATAAATATACTTACATTAAAAATAAAGTAATCCACTCCAAATCAAGGTTTATCAGGAAGAAACTCAGAATTTCCTAAAAAGAAATAAAGCTAAATTAGTTAGGAAATCAATGTAATTTTAAGTATTTAATGTGTAATGAATTTAATCAGAAATAATAACGCAGTTGTTTGTAATCAGAGAACTATCAGATGTGTCCTAAGATATATCATCATTATGAATATTTATAAAAAAATATATGAATTTTTGATATACTTACATCAAAGATTATTGTAATCCTCTCTTTATCCACGTTTCCAGGTTAGGTTACACGGATTATCTAAAAACATAATACATAATTAGTTTTAAATGAAATTAATAAAAATTAAGCGTTTAATGGTAAAATAAAGTTGATCAGAAATAATAACGCAGTTGTTTGTAATCAGAAAATTTTCAGATGTGTCCTAAGATATATCATCATTATAAAAAAAATATTACTTTAGAGTAAAAGTAATATTTTAGTATACAAAAATATGTATTACTTATTGTATAATGTATTTTTTAAATAAGATTACAGTATAAATATATTTACCTTTTATTTAAATCCAATTCCATGTCTTCTTAAAAAATGATGAACCATGTGTGTCTCAAAGGCTTCCCAATAAATATCCTTTTCATTTCTTTCAAATACAAATGCTGAAAAGCAATGGGTTATTTATACTCACTTAAGGGTTGGGTAGTAGCTTGGTTTGCGCTTCAAGGAAACAATACGGGTCTTTCCGTTCTTCTCACCACCAATTGGCTTCTCAACAGTGAGGGGTTTCTTCACATGCTTGGCAGTGTGGGTCTTCTTGCCAACAAACTTCCACAAAGCCTTCTTGTGGTACATTCTGGACTTGGAGAAACGGTATACTCCATTACCAAGATCGTAGTTCCTGGCATGTCCAACTTTCTTGTCTTTAGCAGCAACAGCCACTTTCTTAGCCTCAACAGGCTTCTTTTCGACCTTGGGAGCCATCTAAAATAATAATAAAACACTATAAGAAACTACACACAATAAACACTACTAAAACTAAATGATTAAATAAAATTTTAAACTACATTTAAAACAAAATCAAACCACTTGTGAATCTATATTTACTTGGATTAGTTTTAATACAAATTTGGGATTTAGTGAATAGAATAAAGCTTTAAGTAAATGTTGTAAGGAGACGCTATGAGTAAAAACTTTAACGGATTTTGTAAGTTATTACGTTTCAGCAAAACATTAAATGTAAGACTATAAAAAATGAGGTTTTTAGTGTCGTTTTACCATGTGTTTAGATGGAATATTGTTAGATTAAAGGGATGCAACATACTTTTTTCCTAACCTAAGAGGACCCGTCAAAACATGCAGAACTTTTGTAAACATTATGTGCGAAATATGGACTTTTTGCAAAAAATACTTATTCGTGTGGATAGATTCGGGATAGGTGGTTTGATTTTCAAATAAATGTGGTTTGCTTACGTGAATTTTACTTAGATTAACTTAGATTTAAAAAAATATATTTTCCGATGCACTTACTTCGTGTAATCAACTATGGAGAAAGAGGGACTCGCATGCGTGACAGCCGCAAAGCATTGTGGGCCGACGCGCATCCAATAAGTGACAGACCATATTTCGGCGCTAAATTCAAATACGACTGTTTTTCATAACATAAAAGTTTAATTTCAGCTGTTAATTAACAACAAATTCATTCATTATAGATTCTTTAATAATTATTATTTAATGTATGGTGAAGATAAATTATTATTAAGTACTCAATTGAGAATATTACACAAAATTGATGATGGCAATACGATTTACAAAATAATTATATTATTAAAGAAATAATTTATATTCAATAAACAAACCAATTTCTAATACATTTTAAAGTATATATATATTTACTAAATACATTAAATAACTTTAATAAAGTTAAATAAATACTAATATTGTTATGCAACCAAACTTACACATGTTTTTCGCAACTCATTTTACATCACTCATGTTTTTAAAGAAAAACATGTAAAAATATTAGTTTCTTATGTAATTAATTTTGTAATATTTATAATAATTATCAATTTTTGTCTATTGATTTAATTTAAAAAAATCAAGTATTTAAGCTAATAACATTATATATTTGTTCCTTATATAACAGTTGATTACATTCGTTCACATTTTGTTTCCTTTCGAATACTAGATATTGTCTATTTGTCAGACTTTGTCTATATTATTTATAGATAATTCATGTACGTTTGGCTGTCCGTACACACATTGTTCGATAAATACAAAAGAAAACCCGATCCGTTACAACTCTTCAACCTCATTAAAACCTATTGGCAAAAAGCGGGTTTGCGTGCGATTCTGTAATATCTGCTCAATACATAAAAAAATAAAACTATGACTGTAACCGCATTACGTACTTCTAGGATATATTCGATGGTTTCCTTTAAAAACTTAAGTACGTTTTTCTTTTAACGAAACATCATCGAAGCTCACAATCAAGCATACTTAATTACTTAAGTTGCGGACAAACTGGAGATTAAGTGTACATGGTAGTTTGCCCGACACCCTGATCAAAGGTGAAATACTGTGAACCTTTACAAATACTGTGTGAAACAAGATCATTGTATGAAATCTTACTGTACAACCTTGTGTGATTCTTACGTATATTATGTTATTTGTTCTACTAAAAGTATTATAAAAAATAATATACTATTCTTATCGTTTCATTTGGCAAAAAGGTAACCTGTCTTACTTATTTATAAAAAACAAAAAACTGAAAAATCACGTGTAGCTTTAACAAAGCACCATTTACAAACTTAGTCCACAGCCTTACTTGAAATTATACTAAATTCGCAACTAAGTACAATATACTAAATACTTTGTTTCAACGCTTAAATCTGCACAGTGCGAGCCAATCCAGCGGCACGGAGTAGCGGAATTGGGGCCTGTGTCAGTTGAACGTGTATAAGAGATTCTTGTCGTAGAAATGGTAGATTTCGTTGATGTGCCGCACGATGCGTCCTTCTATCAAATGTCTTGCGTAGTTAACGCCTTCGGTCCTGTCCCTAGCCAATCCCACTTCGATCAGCCAGTCCACGAATTTCCTGCCGGAGAAGACGTCTTCGTATACCTTCAAACGCCACCTATAAACATCAATTACAATTACATAATTGCAATTAATAATAATATTATATAGTTGAACCTCTTGCTGCGTTGAATGTCGCGCTTGCATTTGCTCAAGTGATGCTTCTTGAATTGCTCGCAGATATGTAAAGTCTCGTTTCCGAGCTCCGATTCCATCGGTAGAATCAACTTGTTCTCTTTGTGCAGAAGCTTTCTCCATCTCTTCAACAGAGGAAGCAAGGTGTCTTTAGTATCTGAGAAGAACACGGCGAGGATTATGACGCTTTGACCCATGTTGAAGGAGACGTCGAGGAAAGCCAATTCTATATAGATTGCGGTCATCTTTTCCATGATCACCGTCCAAATGGAAACGGTCAATCCCTGAAATTAATTAATCACTTAATCGGTTGTTAATTCAAACTCGATTGGAAACGTACAAAGAACATGGAGAACAATAGCAAGATTAATAAGATCGAATGCTGCAATATCTGCGGATCGTGACTGCTGCGTTCCTCTTCGATTAATTCCAAATCGTCATTGATTCGTTCGTCGAATTGTCTGATAATTCCTGTGCAGTAATCCGAACTTCCAGCGCATCCCAAACCGGAAGGGCAGTCTCCTTCGCCATGTTTTGCTCTTAAATATTTAATTCAATTAATTTAGTTGTTATTCATTTGGATAGATTTAGTACCCATCGCATGGAACTCCTCCGTTCTTCCTCGTGGAATTCCCGAAGAGGTCTTCAATATCAACAACGTTGGGTTGATTGTTTGGAGAGGTTTCTGCACTTTCGTTGATGGTAGGAAGAGTGCAACTGTTGCCACCGCAGCAAGTTGAAGTACCGCAAGCTGAAGGAGTCGGGCAATCTTGTACACCACTCGTTGATGGATTAGAGCTTTCGATTTCGCTATTCATGGATTCGTTGCCTAAGCTCCAATAGTTCTCGTGTCTCCTTTTATACATATGGTTTAATATGAGACAACCTAGAGTAACCACGGAGCAAAGTACTAGTAATGAGACTGCAACGATCGCTTGGAATACTCCGTAAATGAAGTACGGATTGTCGTCTTCGGGATTGATGGGTTTGTCGCGATCGAAGACCAAAAGCAGTATGGAAATCACTATTGGGAGACTGCAATTTCGAATGTCAAAATTACGTAATTACTTTCGGTTTAGTAGTATTACCCCCAGCTGCACAGCATGAAGAACGGTTGCAGTTTGAAAAGTATGTAACATAAGCTTCGACATTCCATGAAGAGTAATGTTATGGCAATAACTGCAGTCCACATGCGAGTGCTGTAAATTCCTCCAGTAAAGAAGCAGAACTGGATGTAACCCACCCATCCTTTATCGTCCGTGTAGTTATATAAAATAGCTCCGATGCAGCTGAAAATCTATTATAGGTTTCGAGACGTGCTCATCGTGAATGTATTTATATAATAGTTACGTGCGAGACTAGAAGACAAGCAGTGAACTTGTGCGGAACTTTATTGATCTTCTTGGTGAGCACGAAGATGAAGAGCACCCAAACGCTGGCTATCAAACCGATGATGCTCACCTCCAGAGTAAACAGATTTATTTGCTTGATGTAATGCGAAGGATCGATGTCCTTTATGGCTATCAATTTTGCCGAGACGAAGATTAATGGAGCGCTGAGGAACGTGCAAGCAACCATAGCAGTTGCTATCTGCAATTTCGGAAATGACTAAAAAGTTTTTTTTTTTATATAAACTAAAATCATTACCAAATCCATTTCCACAGCGTATTTGCAAGCGAATACGAAGACTGTAGGAGCGGATGGAAACGTTCCGTAGAGAAACCCGAAAGTGCTCATCTCAGAGTTAGCTTTGCTATCGCCTGCTACGTTTAAAAGCAGAGCAAATTGTCGTATCAATTCGGGAAGCGCCAATCTAAAATATGATAGATCTTTGTAAATATTGCTGATTATGATGTGTATTTGTATTTACAATTTGCCGAAAATTAGGAGACCCGGTAATAGGAATCCGACTCCTCTTAGGCTGTTGATCTTTCCCACCATGCGTAATCCTAGGATGAAGAGAGCGCAAGCTGAGAAGGCTTTGCCTAAAACGCTTAGGATTTCTCGGAGGTAAACCGGTACTTTTTGACCTAAAGCGAAGTTGCAGATTATACCGAGGAGAGTGACGAAAACGACTGGGTTGAATAAAACGTTCTTCAGTATCTTGAAGACAGTTTTCACGCGGCTCTGGCGTATTCCGTCTGTTAAAGCGCTCCTCTGGTAACTACCCATCTCTATCAGGATGAAAGCTATGGGATTTAGTATAGCCAAGTTTATTGGAGCCACCAGGTAGATGTAGCGGGCGAAATCCGGATGAGTGTTCGCGTATAAAGCAGTAACTAAAATGTTCAAATCATTAGCTTTAAGTTAAACATTTTCAAATGATTACCAATTGGATATCCAATCGCAAAGTCATTGCTTTGAGTGGCAAAAATTGCTAAGATCCCAGCACTGGATGTGTTGATTGGTCTCATCAGAAGCATATGCAAAGCAATGACCAAGATGAAAACAACGAGCTTTGCCAAGAAGATGGCTAGCACGAAGCGCCAATTCACTGAGTACACATCCATTTCAACCAAGTTAAGGAAAATCAGAGATGGCAACGAGAAATTGGCTATGAAAGTGTTGATTCCCTTTGCCTCTGTTTGTGAAAGCAAATTAAACCGGCCAGCCAAGTATCTGCAAAACCAGATGTTACAGCTCTTCAATTTGCATTCTCTTAAGACTTACCCTAAGACTATGTTGCCAAAGCAGGCAATCATAGCCGGATACAGATTGTTGAAATCAACATCTGTGTTGCCACCATCATCGTCAGTCACCTCAAGGAATCCCATTTTTGATAATTATTTAATTAACTTTCTCAATTTTCTCTTCAGATGTGATTTCTCATTGTGATGATACCACACGATGACCGCACGGTTATTCCTGCGGATCGAATCAATAAATGCTGGAGCACTTTAATAACACCCACACATCGTGCCTGATGATTTTTGCTTTATTTGCTGGTGGCCAGCTGAAATTCATAGAAAACAGCTGACTGCTGCTTGCATTGACGTACCAATGTCACATAATCGATTGGTTGCGCTCAATTGACTCCATTCCCTGCTTGAAGTACGGCACGTACCAGATTAGATAAGAATGTTTACATAATTCACGCGATACGGGTCTTCAATTAAAACAAATTGCTTTGAAATGTTGGACTTTGCTAGGACCTCTGATAAGATTGCTGAAACTTGGTCTACTGGATCATAGGTGGTACTGTTTCAGTTGCGTAAGACATCTTGAAATAATACATAACAATTGACTAACATTTTAATGCTACTTAAGTACTAAAACTTAATTTACTAATAAAATGATTACCGTTATTATATTTAAAGCATAACAAAAACTACAATTAACAAAGGCGACACAGCAAGTTCAAAGATATCTCAAACGATGTCGCAGAGTGTATAATTTGGTATCAATTTCATTACAAAATTACAAGAAATTAGTACATTTATTTAATTTAATTCGTTAGCTAATCTATTAATAAATTTATTTGTATCAAAGTTTTTTCTTAATTTTAACAAATATGTTTATTCTATTATCATTATCTAAAGTCTTAGTTTAAATAAAATATACTAAAAGTAATTAACTAAAGTATTAATAAACTTATCTTAAATTGTTTTTCCTGTACTTATGGTAGTTATTTAGTTCAATTACTTAAGTATAGTAGTACAAAAATCGTACATTTGTTCATTATTAAAAATTGTATGTTAATAATAAAGCTTCAATAATAAAATTTGAAATTCCATTAAAGAGATGATCAAAAATTCTTAAAATTTAAATAAACTATGCGAAGTAACAAATCTCTTTTATTGCTGGGTTCACATACATCATTGAGCGAAACTTGGATATTCTTAGGTGCTCAAGATCACGACGATATGCCAAATACAGCGTAAAAAGAAGTGGACGTTACGTAACGCTGCAGATGGCGCAACGGAGATTTTCAAAATAATTATTACATGTACGATAATTCCGCATATATAAACATACATACATACGTATTTATATTTACCATCGTCGTCGTCGTTGTTGTTGTTTCTTCTCCTTCGCAATAATTGGATTTATCAATTTGTTTAATCAGCTAGAAACCGAAGCTCGAGTTGTTCTCACGGTGTTCCGTTTTCTCGCTTTCGCTCTTTCATTCGCTTTTCCATTCCGTTACATACCATTTTATACCATTCTGACCGTGTTGCGTTTGTTTGTTGTTCTCGGAGCTCTTTGTTTTCTGGCTCCGGGCCTCTCGTAAAAAATCGCTTTTTATCGCTTTTTAATAAATTTTAATTTGGTACATTTTAAAAGAGGCGCCCATAAAAAGGTGTGCCCTGAACCCCGGAGGCGCGTTTTTCAAATGTTTTTCTACTTGGGGAGACGGGCGAAAAGTCTTCGAACGCCGCCGCCTTCGAAATGCTATAAACATTGGGTTTTGTTTTTATTATTTTTTGTTGGTTGAGAATTCGTGAAATGAAGAACGTTAAACGTGGTTTATTGGCTTTTAAGCGCATCCACTCGGATAAGTGGACACGTCTACGAGTTTTTCTTCTTTCATTTGTTTATTGGTACTTTATCTTTTTTTCTTATTTAATTAATTATCTTTTTTTTTGGAAATGGGTAGCTTTTCGGTGGATGTTGTAACACGATAGATTGAACCATTAAAAATCAGATTTATGTTACTTAACGTCTACTTGATTCTAATAAAGATTACTATAATCAAGTGCAAATCAAAGTCAAATAAAATTTTGTTTTATTTAAAATTTCTATTTACTTTTTCAGTTTTATAACAGAAAATAGTCTAATAAAAGTTTCACTTTCGATTACGAATGATTATTTAAAACAATTTTTGAAAAATGAAAATTTGATTTGAAATCAATTTATCATAAGCAGTTGGTGTCATTGACAATTATGTAATCTGTTGGCAAATTAAACGAACTACTGATATGTCTACCAACTTAAATAAATTGTAAACAATACAGTTACTATCACAATGCTGTCATTTACTATAGTAGATGTTTTGAAAACGTAATTGAACTACTGAAAATTCTACTAACTTAAATATAAATTTGAATTGCATGATAATTGAACCTAAATACAATTGTTATCATTGAATATAAAATATTATATAAAATAAATATTAATTTATAATAATACTTTGATTATAAAGTAATATATTGACAAATTAACTGAACTACTTATATGTATAGCAAGATCCAATTGGTATAATTGAATGGTTTTATTGATAATGTAATTGAAGATTACTAATATGTGTAACAAAATGCAGTTGGTGTCTTTGAATAAAAAATAAAATTTTAGTAATGTAATTGAACTACTGACTTTTCCACTGACTTAAATATCAATTTATAATATTATAATTTATAATATGATTATAAAGTAAAATATTGACAAATTAACTGAACTACTTATATGTATAGCAAGATCCAATTGGTATAATTGAATGGTTTTATTGATAATGTAATTGAACTACTGAAAATTCTACTAACTTAAATATAAATTTGAATTGATGATAATTGAACCTAAATACAATTGTTATCATTGAGTATAAAATAAAATATTAATTAAACTGGATTACTAATATGTGTAACAAAATGCAGTTGGTGTCTTTGAATAAAAAATAAAATTTTAGTAATGTAATTGAACTACTGACTTTTTCACTGACTTAAATATCAATTTATAATACTTTGATTATAAAGTAAAATATTGACAAATTAACTTGAACTACTTATATGTATAGAAAGATCCAATTGGTATAATTGAAGGGTTTTGTTGATAATAAAATTGAACTACTAACATTTCTACTAACTTAAATGATAATGTAATATGTTGTAAGTGAAACTGACGTTGGTGTCATTGATTAAATTGAATTGTTGATATGTGTACCAACATAAATAAATGTCTGTGGTAAGAGGAATTATTTATGTTGTTTGTTTATATATTAAAATAGTATATTAAAATAATATATTTGGCCGATCTTCTTGTCGCTTACTAAATGGTAATTATTATTTATGTGTTTTCATAATGTATTATTTATGCGTTGCTTCAATTATTGAATGGAATTATAGAAGAAGAAGCAATGGAAAAGGAAGAGGAAAGCGAGTGGTGCACGGTCGTTTTCCGTAAGGATTAGTTGCTGGTTGATAATAATAGAGTAATTTGATGGGGGATGGGTGTATGTGGTTGCGCGAGTACATAAATAAGAGAAGAAAGAGAAGAGTGGCTGAGGATGGAGCAGAGTCATGGCAATGGTCATGATGATGATGATGATCATCATCATCATCGTTCGCGGGATCCGAAGCCGTCGCCGTGGTTGATCCCACGCAGTGGTCGCGGTTAGATGGATGTGAAGGGGTGTAAGAAGAGGTCGGTGCCGGTGCCGGCCAGTCGGATTCGTGGTGAGTCCATTTGTTAGTGGTCTCACTCCGTGGGTGGTATTAGCGCTGCCTTTTGTTTTAAACTAGCTACCACCGCCATTATATCAACACGCATTCATCTCTATAAGCGAAACGGCAAAAGCGAACCAAAAAGGACCAACAAAACACACCGTGTGCACTGCACAACTCGCACACAGATACACACACACACACTCACGCATAGAGCATCTCTTGTGTTTCATACAAACCGCAGACTAATGGACCACATTAAAACTGCTTCAAATAGTCGCAGCTACTTTCAACTCAGTTGGCAAGGCTTCAACAACCAAATTACCAACTTTTGTTTTAACTGCAATTCTTACCAGAACCGCATACATTCATAACTTAAATAGATATATAATTTTGTCCGAAATTTACTCATAATAGTTAAACAATATGGATGGGTGACCAGTTTTGCAAAATATATTTAACTACTGCTAAGACAATAATAATAGTTTGGATTTTAAATTAAGTTTTAATGTGATTTGTAAAATATCCTCAACAGTTTTAGTAAATAGAAAAATCCTTATATGTAATTTAGTTATTATATATACATACTTATTTATTCATTTTCAGTCTACATACTACAATCTTCTTAAAACATCAAATTATTCTGTGTTTTATAGTTTATACACAAAAATCAGTTATAGTTAAGCAATTTTGATAGGTGATCCACCAAATTTTGCAAATTATTATTGATTGTATTGATTGATATTAGTGATTTGTAAAATATCCTCAACAGTTTTAGTAAATAGAAAAATCCTTATACGTAATTTGGTTATTATGTATACATACTTATTTATTCATTTTCAGTCTACATATTACAATCTTCTTAAAACATCAAATTATTCTGTGTTTTATAGTTTATACATAAAATTTCAGTTATAGTTAAGCAATTTTGATAGGTGATCCACAAAATTTTGCAAATTATTATTGATTGTATTGATTGATATTAGTGATTTGTAAAATATCTTCAACAGTTTTAGTAAATAGAAAAATCCTTATATGTAATTTAGTTATTATATATACATACTTATTTATTCATTTTCAGTCTACATATTACAATCTTTTTAAAACATCAAATTCTTCTGTGCTTTATAGTTTATACACAAAATTTCAGTTATAGTTAAGCAATTTTAATAGGTGATCCACAAAATTTTGCAAATTATTATTCACGTAGATAATTTATTACATTAACACATACGTTAATATAACTTTCAATACAAATTTAATAATGTTTGTATAACTTCTTGACAATACTTTATTTACTCTATATATTAAAACCTAAAGATCAGAATCGATAGATGAAAATTGTAGCTAAAACGTGTTAAATTATCATCAAGAATCTCTATCTAATCTTCACTACGTCTTTTTTTTTTGTCAACTACTAATGACCAGAGTTTCGTTAAGCGTACAAGATCTTACTAATAAGATTAAGATTTTGCCGAAAGTGATCCTGTTTCTTCCCTTTTACTCTGACCACTGATGGAGTTAAAACCTTGTCCACTCCTGATCTACTTTTACTTGTCCTTTTTCTCTCCTCTTTCTCTCCATATACATTGTTTTTTTCTTGTAGATAGACCAAAAAAAAAGGACAAATCTTGTCTTGTACGAGATTCTTATCATGAAACGAAAAATCGTTCGGTTCCGATATTTCGGTTCTACATTTCTTTTCCTTTCGATGACAGAGTGGATTCGCCTCGGGTCATTTATCTTCGGCAGAAATTTTTGGGATATTT